AGGATATTATAGAGTTTGTAGCCAGATGCCCAAATTGTCAGCAAGTAAAGGTTGAACATCAAAGGTCGGGAGGAGTACTTCAGGATATCAGCATTCCTACTTGGAAGTAGGAAGAGATTAACATGGATTTCATTACAGGCCTACCTCGTACTCGCCGATAGTATGATTCTATTTGGGTGGTGGTAGACAGGTTAACCAAGGCTGCACATTTCCTACCGGTGAAAACCATAGATTCAGCGGGTGATTATGCCAAACTGTACATCCGGGAGTTTGTTCGACTACATGGAGTGCCCTTTTTTATTATTTAAGATCGAGGTACTCAATTTACCTCCCAATTCTGGCGGTCTTTTCAGAAGGGTCTTGGGACTCAGGTTAAGCTCAGTACAGCCTTTCATCCGCAAACGGATGGCCAAGCAGAATGAACAATCTAGACTCTCAAGGACATGTTGAGAGAATGTGTGATGGACTTCAAAGGTAGTTGGGATGATCACTTGCCCCTGATCGAGTTTGCTTATAATAACAGTTATCACTATAGCATCCAGATGGCGCCGTTCGAGGCTCTTTATGGGTGAAGATGTAGATCTCCCATCGAATGGTTTGAAGTTGGTGAGGCATCTATGATAGGGCCCGATTCGGTTTATGAGGCTATGGTGAAGGTTCAATTGATAAGGGACAGGCTGAAAATCACTCAGATTCGTCAAAAGTCGTATGCTGATGTGAGGAGGAGAGAGTTGGAGTTCAAAATGGACAATTGGGTATTTCTGAAGGTATCTTCCATGAAGGAGTCATACGGTTTTTGAAGAAAGGAAAACTCAGGGGAAAAGGTGGACGAGGATCCACACGAGTTCATCGAAGGGATTTTGAAGGTCACTCAGGTAATGGGAGTGATAAGTGAGAAATGTGTTGATTTGGCCTCTTATCAGCTGAGGGAGGTCAATTACATTTGGTTCAAGCAATGAAGGGATAGCAGCGCAGGGCGAGCGGGCCCTATCAGCTGGGATGAGTTCCGCATAGCCTTTCTCGACAGGTTCTTCCCTCGAAAGATGAGGGAACTAAAAGCAACTGAGTTTGTCAACCTTAATCAAGGAAAGATGACGGTGTTGTAATATTCAATTGAATTCACTCGCCTATCAAAATATGCCCCGGAGTTAATGATGGATCAAAGGGCGCGGGTGAGCAGGTTCGTGCAAGGAGTAGCGGAGTATTTGGACAAAGACTGCAGAACAACCATGCTACATCAGGACATGGACTACCCACGAATAGTCCTCTATGCAAAACAGCATGTTTTGGCCGACTCACGGGCCTTACCCTCATGGCTAGTTCACATATTTACAAGCATGTTTACGACTTTCATGATTTAACTAGCCCGTGAATCTCATTCATATTATACAATTGTCATGCCCTACCTTGGGAGGCATGACTGGCACCTAGTGCCCTTACTGGGATCTAAACTGGCCTTACTAAGCTTACGCACCTTTGGTGCATAACTAATACTGATTCTCAAATCAAGAAAACAACGGGCTATATCTCGGCTGTAAACACAGGCCCCGACCGACAAGGCCTTATAGCCACCTGTAAAAGAAAATAGCTAACCAAAAATGGTAATAGCAGGGAATCCTATGCGGCCCGACAAGACCACCATGATGTCTAGTTATGACTGTAAAGTAAATCTAGCATAAACTAAGCTATGGCTGACAAGGCCTCCAACTAACAGCTAAACACGGCCCCACACGGCCAATACGCAAGATAAAACACATGTGGGTCCCACACGACCAATAACAACTAACCACAGGGAATTAGAAACAATCTGCAAGCCTCTAGAAATGACATACTGGTCGAGACAGGGCCCCGACCTACCCGTAAACTGTATACACAAAAAGAGAGTCAACCTTCTAACTACGAGCTCTGGAGGAAATGAGCCGACTGCTCTGCTAATCTGGCTGAAAAATAGGAAGGTCCTGGTCCGCGTCAATCCTCACCTACAAGACAGTAATGTAGCGACCTAAGAAAGGCGTCAATACAATATGTACTGAATATGTAAGGAAGTAATTGTAAATAACTGAATGAACTAAAATGATACTGAAAGTAACTGAAAAGAAAGAATAGGAATACCACCTGATCAGCTGAACTTTTACTGTCTAATTTATTAGTAACTAATACAAACAAGAACCTTACCTGGCCTCCATAAGCCGGAAGGTACAACCAGCACATAATAACCCACCCGGGCCCCCCCAAGAAGCCCTGGTGAGTACCTTCAATATATATACTCCCAACGAGGTCATACTGAATCATTTAGAAACTATAGCCATCCTACAAGTCCCCTGGGTCTGCAACGGAGCCTGCTCGACCCCTGAACTATAGCTGTGTCTGAGTCCGGTGGACTCCTTATGTCTGACATCTACACCCAGGGCACCATGCTCGACGTGGGGTGTAGTGTAGTGCCGATTGGCAAAAAATAGTCCATCCATGGAATGGACTATATGAGGACCTTGGACCCCATCTTCATCCCTTGCGGACGGCATACCGCTCCTTGGAGCGACATCATCTTGCCCCTGGCGGGTGTCAACACAGCTAGTAACCTAGCGTTGGTCAGGAAAGGTTATTCAGGTGTAATCAATCCCCAAACTAGACATGGAATACTGATCTCAGCTAATGAAAACAACTAACCATAATAGATATGCTTCTGATCTTCTTACTGAGATTCAAATTGAGTTATAATACTAAAAGAACTAACTTTCCGAAGACATTTTCCTTAACATACCTGGATCTCCGATTTTTGATTAGATGGCGAGTTTCAATCCGCGTTCAACAACTTTTTCTAACTGTAATCATATTATTGGGAGAATGAGATTAGTTTCAGTACTAAATTCGGAAAAAATGATAACTTTCTATATAAATATTAACTATACTTCAACTTAATAGAACACGGTCTAAAATGTATAATTTCTCGAAAGTTCAAAAGGGAGAAGTACTTACTTTAAGCCTGTGATCATATAGAAATTAGTTTGGAGTCGTTCCGACAACTTTGACTCGACGGAGTTATGATTTTCCGGGCTAATTTCATGAAACTAACTCCGTAGTAATGCTCCTTATAGCGATAAACTTCAATACCCAAAGTTAATTTGAATTCGGGTAGCGTTTCATAACGTAAATGGAAGAAAATTAACTAAAAATGGCATTTCTAGTATTCTCGGATGAAACTTTACTTTTGAATATGTATCAAATGAAAAATATGCTATATATATATATACTTGGGCAGTGGACAGGGGGTCCATGGTACGGACCCCAATGCACCAAAAGTCGGGCATGCCACGATGCCTAACGTGCCTAGGAGGGGTCAGTGACAAGTTGCCCCTTCCGGAAGCTGTCCGACCCCTCTCTCTCGCAAGCTTGATCCCACACTCGTTCGATATTTTCCCGAGCCTTTTTTTCGTTTGCGTTGTACTCTAAAATCTCTTGACCAATGTACGAATAGGTCGACTACATGTTAGAAACTTATGGAGTATAACATCCTCCCCCCTAGGAACATTCGTCCTCGAATGTCACTTACAGGACTTTAACTTTTCCATCTGTTATTCTGGAAATAATTTGGCAGAGTCTCCCCTGTAATATGGACTATTTGAAAACCCCGAAACGCAGAAAAGTCCAACACAGGCACTTCATCTAACACTATAACAACTATTTCACAATAAGGTTGGAATCAACTGACCAGTATATATAACACAAATCATGAAATAGAAACTGAATCAATAACTTACCTCAACTGCAGAGTCTGAACTAATCCTGGAACAAATGAGGATATCTTGATCTCATATCATCCTCAGCTTCCTAGGTCATCTCTTCTCTATTCCTCTTTCTCCACAATACCTTAACAGAAGCGACATCTTTGGTTCTCAACTTACGAACCTGCCGATCCAATATAGGTACTGGAACCTCTTCATAAGCTAATTCCTCAATAACCTGGATGTCCTTAATTGGAACAATCCGGGATGGATCTCTTATGCACTTCCGTAACATTGAAACATGAAAGACCGGGTGAACAGATTCTAACTCTGAAGGAAAATCTAATTCGTATGCCACCTGGCCTATTCTCCGAAGAATTTCTAAGCTTTCCTTTCTTACCAAACCTCATCACGCCCTTCATTAGTGAAACTTTTAAAAATACCCAATCACCTACATCGAACTCCATGTCTCAACGCCGTATATCAGCGTAAGATTTCTGACGGCTCTGCGCTATCAGCAGGAGTTCTCTGATAAGTTTTACTTTCTCTTCTGACTAATGGATTATATCTAG